TTCTTTTGTATGGACGCAAACCATCGTGCACGCTGGGCACTATCCTCCCCTACACGCCTGTCTCATCTGAGTACACCACAATTTATGATGTTGCTAAGTGCACTGAAGATTGCACACAATTGGTCCGTTCACTGACAGCCGACTACCTAGGCCACCAGAAGCTACAGCTCGACACCGACCGACCTCTCCCTACTTTCACGACTGGTGCCCTTGTGGGGCTCTGACTATCGCCGAGTACTCCTGGCCTTTCGTCGAAATTACTGGCGCGATACCACGAGCCCTACCGAAATATCTCCCATACGTCACCAGTTCATTCTGATATTGAGCCTTTGACACCGCCTGATGACTTATGCGTCGTGGGACAGAAATTATACTTGTTAGTAGCCTGAAGCTGTAGTGACTACACCTTAAGTCGCCAGGATGGCTACGCTCTTCACCGGGGGCCAATGTAGAGAACAATGTGAGATGACGACGAAGCAGCAAGCGAGGCAAGCCACACAATTGGTGATACACACGCGCGACCTGAGCTTGCGCTTGCTTGGATTTCGGACTGCAGACGTTCCTTGGTCTGCTGACGTTCCTCGGCCTTCCAGTTTGTCTGTACGTGAATAAATCACGTGACATGTTATGCGAAATGAGGCTTGCAGCTAGCTTTTTTATTTATTTATTTATTTTTATTTGTCGCAAAAACTATACACGCATTGAGGTAGTATATACAGAAGGAGGTCCCATAGCACAAGGCTGAAAGGGGACCTCCTGTTAGAAAATGACATGTTGATAAGTACAACAAAATGGCAACAAAAAAGCGATTAAGTAATTATTGATAGTACCAAAAACAACGCAAACATGCAATAAATCATGCCAGTAAAAATGGTAACAAAACAATGTTCAGTAATTGTGCATAACTATGAAAACAACGAAACATACAATAAAATTGGCAGTAGAATAGGGAACGAAATGACGTTAATTAATGATATACAGCTATTAAAAGAACTTCTATGTGCATGGGTAATAAATGGGAAAATAACGCACACAGTAATAGCTGTAAATGTAAGAGAACGCCGATATAAAAATGAAGATGAGTTATGATTGCGAGATGAGATGTTTAAGTTCTTTTTTAAAAGCAGCTAATGACAAGTGTTTAGTCCTTAGTGGTACTGAATTCCAAAATTGGATAGCTGCAAATATGGTAGTATGCTTGCCGTAGTTAGTGCGTGCATGTGGTAGTAAAAAGTTGTTGTTTGAGGCAAACCTGGTAGGATTAGGGTTTAACAATTGAAATTTCTCTAAAACGTTGACTGTTATGGTACCGTTAAGACACTTAAATACAAGAATCCCCAATTTATATTTAAATAAATTACAATAAATTTATATTTAAATAAATGAATATGGTATTAGGTAACTGTACCAAATGCTGGTGTATGAGAATACGGCCACATTTGGAAGAGCACCTGTTTACGCGCAGAGTCTTTACGATGGAATCCCAACGGGTATACGACGCACCCTCTCGTGCCTGCTGAGCTAGCGTGCGCATCAGCGATCGCGGCTGTGCAATTTGAAGCAAAGTTCACAGTGGCTTCTCCACCAACTCTTTCCCACTCTCCTCTGCTCGCGTCTTTTAATACTCGTTCAATACGGGCAGGGTGGTTACTTTCTGCTAGGACGGCAGGCCTTTCCAAGTGGAGTGATGTTACCGCATGCGCCCCTCGAGTGATGAAGATGTGCGGCTTATTTTATCTCTGCTTCAGGCGCATTGGTCACCTCTGATCACGCGTTTTCACCCGCGGGTTGTACGTACAATGCGTAGGGGTAGGTTATTAATTCGGACTTTATGCAGTGCGTGACGGCAACGGTAAATAGCTGTGCAGAGTTTACATGTAATTGATAATGCAATGACAAAGCTATTGCACAATTTGTTTTAGTGTTCGCAAAATGCAGTGCTGCGCAATCGGGTTACGCATGCTTTGTATGTTCTGTCTGAATACTGTAAACTTGCTCTAAAAGGCTTTTTTGGTTGCTGCGAGCCTGCTCTCAAATGTCCTTCTGGAATCTTCAGCCTGCTACAAAAGGCAGTTTTCTGGCTTTCGGAACTGCTCCCAAACCCCTGTAGACTTTCTCAACCTGCGTCATTGCAAAGCCAATACTAAATGGAGTTAGGATGGCTGTAAATAATGCTTCATTTAGATCAACTGTGTCCGTAGGCATACAATAAAATGAAAAGAATTCTGAGATCTCTTCTCATATATTTATTGGGATATCTCGTATTTCTGTATATCAAATACACAATGTGAGCGCTTTGCACAGGCAGAAACAGCACTACAAACCCACAACAGTGGTTACAGTGGTTGACTGTTGACCCGAAGGATCGAATACTTGCCGCGGAGGTCACAATTTTTGTGAAGACGACAGTTATTGAAACACGTGCACTCAGATTTAAGTAAAAGAACATCAAGTGATTGAATTCTTCGGAGCTCTTCACTACCGCGTCACTCATAATCATATCGTGCTTTTGGTGCGTAAACTCTAACATTTATTTGGGCGAGTTTGGAAAAAGTGTTTTTTAATTTTTAATATTTCCTACTTTACTATGGTAGAGCATTCAACCATTCCAGATGTGGTCACCAAACAGAAATAGCCAAAGCTTTTATTGTCTCATATTTGCTCTCCGGCAGCGGCCAACCGTGCTTTGAATGCTAGCGCACCCGACTACAAAGAGTCTTCGCGTTTGCAATAGCTTCACTCAAAGCTTTGTCGGGATAAATAGCTTGGGTCAATACCAAACGCAGCATGAAGCACTATTCTTAGAAAGCCTTTAGACGTGCCTAGTCTCCTTCAAGCTAAGTTTACCAAATGCAAAGCATAGGGTTCCACATTTTTTTTAAAATAGAGTAATCAAAAACAAAAGATACAATAGACGGCGCTTCAATAGATCACAGCCTACGGGGCAGCATGTTTCAGCTTTGCTGGTTAATCATCCGTACGAAGTGCTTAAGCGGGGATAACATTGGCTCTCTCCCCCTTATACTCTCTCAGCAGTCACGTGATTCCACAAGGGCGCACGTGACAACGCTCCTTTGTCAGCTGTCTCATTGCACCAGTTTAGTTAGTCTGATAGATTTCACGCCCACGCGTCTCCTTCGTAGCCCGGCCACAATGTGCCCACTCATACAAGAAGGCAAACGAGTTTATCGCGCTTCATTCTGACCGAATCCTTCTCAATCGACTCAGACACTCACCGAGCACACTATGACTCCTTCAGTTTTCACATTTAGACATCAACATGAGCGCTGAAGCTAATAACAGCCAACAGTTGCTGACTAGCACCGCAATGTTCATATACGCCCCAGCCCTAGTGAAAGAAGGGATGAAATAACATAGGCGTGCTGTAGCGGAGCCGTCTGCGGAGCTTTGTCGTTCCGAATGGGTCACGGTGAGACCACTTCGCTATCAGCAACCGAAGACCAGTCAATCCAGCGTGATCATTTGTTCGAAAAGGGGCCTTGTACGTGCGCTTTCATTGAAAACAGTGCGCAGTTCATTTTTAGCTTGCCGTCCTAATTACATATCTATGTGGGAGTGGCTTGGCGATTGAAGATCTTTTTAATTAAGCGATTTGCATAGCCTGAACTACAGCGCTACCTCAATGAAAAAATAAGTGCATAAAACAGGAGGCTTCTCAAAAGCAATACTTTGTAGTACCCTAGGAAGCCGACCACTCACTGGACGCGTCACTGAGTACCAGCCTCTTGCTCATATCTTCCGTCTAACCCTGGGTGGTTGGATGGAAGATATGAGCGTAATGACGGAGCATTGACGTGTTACCCACTGGGCTCAATAAAAAGAAAACCCCTTCTTTTTCAAGTTGGCCTAATTCTTGTTTCTTCCGATTCAATCGATCTGACTGAAGAAACAACACAAATTAGCGGCCCAGCCTGCTGCCTCTGATGGTAGAGTGCCTATTTTTCCCGTTATTTACTTTTGTTATTACTCTCTGTTCTTGTTCCATGAATACTCCAACCGTAACTTACTTAATCCTCGCGCGGACATTTTGCAGTGTTTGCCTTTCGCGGAGTTTTTCATTGTTGTCCATAAAACCCAGCTTCATTTGCTCACCGACACGCCACGCCAGCCTGTGACAATACCAAGGAGGTCTGGAAGGAATCGGTCTTGTAGAATTTCACATTCGCGTTAATGAAAGAACAACTGTCGAATGTAGGAGTCTCCGCCTCCACTTTGATGAAACGAAAATTTATTATCCTTGTCTGAACTAATCAGGCCTACTGTGTGGCGGTAGGAAATAGTCAAAACTGTATCTTGATTTGGATGCGAAAAGATGTCCATAGCATATAGCAGTACTTAGGAAGAGAAACTTGAAATACTTAGAACCATTTATCAGCTAAGTGCTGTGCCAAAAGTGCTGTTTTGTCATATAGAATTATTGCCATTGTGGCAATTCCAGAACGATGCAAAAATGCTGAATATCAATAAAACCGGTGTCATTCCAATTGCCAATTATGTTTCTTTCACGCTATGATTCATAGTAGGCTGTAAGGCCAGCTATTTTACCTACCACCAAGGAGAGGTCGCGGTCCGGGTTTAAATCGTGGCCCTAGAATAGCTCTTCATCATGGAGAAAAACTGTGTCAGAAAAACCTGCGCAGCCTTCGCTTGTATAAGGCCACACATCTAATAAATGCATGAACAATTTTTTTTTCATTTTTGTACATCATCTTCCAACATGCGGGCAGCTTTGATCCACAAAACTACTTGGGCATACTTCTTGATCAGGTTGTACCCTGAAGCATAATGCATTTACTATGTACAAACGTACTTTCCTTGGTAATAAATACAAGGCGTAGAGTGTTTTGATAGCGAGTAGTTTATAACCCAAGTTCAGATACTTAACTCGCTCCAATGGATTTCTGGATTTGTCAGGGTCGATATGTAGCACAGAAAGCAAACGCCACATAATTGCATTTTTGCATGTTTTGCCGACGCAGATCAGGGAGAGCAAGGCGCCCATCAACGTGTCAGGTTCGTTCATGGAGACCAGCGGCTTGTCGACTACTCCCATTGACTACCGCGGTGCCACCTCTGGCCAGAGCAGCACAAAGATTGGACTCGGAAGTAGTGAGTGGCCCAGTCTGGGCTACGGTCGTAGCGGCAGCACCTCCTGCTCGTAGATGCGCAAAGGCACCTTTCGAACTGCAGGAAGTTTGCACGTGACATATTCAAAGCATAACGTAACAGTTTATTTCTTTTTAATACTAAAACTGCATTTATGGCTTCGCATTGTCCACAACGTAAGCTTTTTTTTAGGTCTTGTAAAAATACTGTGACAGCACCACAGCTATACCTGCCTTGTTGGACAAGCAGGTAGAAGGAAGCCAAAAGATTTTTTCCCAAAACTACATGGAATGTACCAGATTATGCTGTCGGGAGTGGTCTGTATTTCTAACGGTCATTGTGACTCTGGCCGCCCCCCATGCTACAAAAAGGCATTCTTCAAAAAAAAAAAAATAACCTTTCCTTCGGAAGAAAAAAACACGATAGAATTCCGTGCGTATATAGCTTCGTCCCTGTATTCACACACGTGGCTCTAAATTTTCAACGTGGGTACATAGTCAAAAACCAGATGTGTTGTGGTGACCTCAGAACTAGTTTGTCAGCGAGTGCGCTCGCTTGTGATTATGTGTACAGGCACCCTGGCGTGTTGGTGTTGAATAAGTTGCATACTCTCGAGTACTCTTCCAACGCGGTAATGGTTCTGAAAGACTGCTGCAAAATACCTGCTAAATGCGACTTTGACATGGATACTGAATTTAGCTTCTTATCATCGTGTGTATTACTTATATGTGCATCTTCGGCCAGAGAAAGTTAGAAGGGTTTCACTTCAAATGCTCATTGTTTTGCGGCTCTATATGTTTCACGGGGAAGCGTACTCCAAATAACCAGTGGGTACGTTTTGCAACTTTGGTTTTGTCTGCAGCTCCCACTGAGAAGAAAGACGGTCAGAATCCCAGCATCGGAAAAGTCGACTTAATCCTTTTCAGGAAGAAGAAATTCTACAAATACTGGAGCTTTGGCTTTTCGATGCGCCGGGTTAAAGGAGAAGATGACAAGTTTTATCTGTACATCGATGTAAGTGTAGTTTTTGCGTTCTTGTGAAAATGTTGGCACACGGAGTTCACTTCGTGAAGCAAGGGACGCGTTTATAATTGCAGAAAATATAGTCTGAGCTAGAAAACGGCAGTAGTTCTTTAAATACTACTGAAGCAGCTTAGCGATGGTGCGCATATGTTTTGCACTAAAACAGCATGTTGCCAAGGGCTCTGCGCGTCGCAACTTCAGTAGCAGGTGAAATAAGCTGATTGAATAATGAAAGCTTCTATTTACAATCAGTTCAACATTTTTGGCAATGGGTGGCCATCACACCAGAAATATTTATTCAAGTAAGTCGCAGAATGAACCAACGCGCCTAAAAAAAGCATTTTAGTCTATGACATTTCTATTACCGTCGGCCCTGTTTTTTAAAGTGCTGTCACTCTTCAGCAATCCTGCTTTCTTGGTAAGCCACGTTTCCGTTGCCTCGTGTCACACAAGAGTTGTTGGCTACCAGGGGCATAACCAGAATTTTTTTTCAGTGGAGGGGGGGGGGGAGCAGGAAGGCATCAGTTTTTCTTTTTGACATGACTATCAGCGCTAGTTTGAGCAGAGTATGTATATGTATATCAAAGTCATAATACTCCCCCCTCCCACTCCTTATGCCTATGCTAATTGTGAAGAGAGTATGTAAAAGTAAAGTAATAGCATTAAAGTGCAAGTAATGACAACTATAGTGACTAATCGGAGAAACGGCCTCTCGTCGCACCATTGAATGGACTAGTCTTCGAAAGCGCTTAATTGGGGTGGCCCACCCAAGCGGAGAAGACTAGAAACAAGATATCACAATCGCTTTCAACTCCGAAAGGCGAACCTTAAGGGTCCCCTAATCTTTCACTTTACTGCGCGCATCCAAGCATGCTTGCGATGTGCAAAAGATAATTTATTACGTAAGTCATGCTGCATGTTCGCAACAGAATTTTGCACGCACTTTTTGAGCAGACTTTCTCGCAACCTTGGTTGATATTGCTGTTCCACTGTGACTTTTGATAGCAATCAAGTACTGCAATGGTAGATGTTCTATCTCTAAATCTGTGCGGGCAAGGTAGTCGTTGTAGGGAATTGTTCACTTGGTCTCAATCGAAAATGTACCTGATACCAGACTAGACCTAATCATAGAGAAATAGCTTAATCACTATGTACATGTGCTGGAACACCTAAATACGTGCAAAAACACGTAATATTCCCGGGTGCCTTTGCCACTCTACTCCGTAAAACGATAGCGTTGCGGGAAGGCATCGTCCGTAGTTTGCGAGCACGCAGCCTTCATTTCCCTTTACGTCAGAGCTGCACAAGATCTTTCACCTTGCTGCATGAGCGTAGGAATGCCATGTATACTCTGGTCGAACTAGTACGTGCATTTATATTTGCAGCACTCACGCAGGCGCTAACAGTAGCAGCCTAGTACCACAATCTTAAGTAATGGGTTTACTACTCACGTAGGAATGAACTTCAGGCTTGTTCAGAGCATAGTGAATCCTAATCATTTCTCAGAACGCGTGTACTCCGACTAGATCTGCCAGTGAATGCAACACAAGTTTACTTACGATGTACCGTGCACTACACATGCCTGTAAGTTGTCTTTTTCGGGCATTCTGATGCGAGTCACTGGAATTTCACTGCTGGCATAAACTTTGTCACCTTAATTCACGTTTGTGGTATGGTATCACACAGCAACAGAAACTACCTGCCTTCCGTAGGGGCGCAATCACAAACGCAAGACATTTTGCGAGCAGAGTGAGATACTGGGCGACCACGACCTGCACCTTAAGGGACGCGGAGGAAATGTATACCCGCGAATTTTCCGCCAAGGGAGAAGCTAGCCCTAGTGTTTAGGCAGAGCTTCACCAGCTGACATGTGTAATCGCTACAATTCTCGTTTCTCGCATTTGCTATCAGTGTCACTGCCCGAACTTTGCTGAGCGCGTTGTGTCCTAGTGATGCTAAGTCACCCTCTTTAAATCGCTGCCTACGTATATCTTGGTAGTTTGTATTGTGTGTCAATCAGCGCCCTTCAGTGAGACTCAATGGCCGCGTCAAAATGCCGTAATGGTACGCTTGATGATTATTTCACTAGTGGCGACATCATTCCCAGTGCACGCTCTACAACTGGCGTAAAAGGTCCAACAGCCGAAGAAAAGGTATGAATCATTGTGAATGAAAGAACACATCAAGCGAATGAATATAAACATTTTAGTTTGTCGCATATTTTTTCAGCTTTACGTTCCTTCTTTTCGCCCTGTTTGCCACACTGCTGAACAATAAAAGTTGTTCTCACTACAGCTGCCTACACTGCATTTCTTATTACGCTGCTTTAGGTTTATGACCACAATCTTTTTATTTATCCTCTTAAGTTACAAGATAAGTATTTCAGTAGGCCTTTCTAAGGATGTGATTGCCCTGCAAGTGTGCATGTGTTGCACCTTCGTCACTAGACAACACTTTGGAGCACATTCAGCCGCTAGGGTATATCAAAGATGTCAATATATTGTACTCCCACATAAAAGCAAAGTTCGGTGGACGAGCCAAACTTTGTGCGTGGCTGTGTGTGTGTATGTTTACATGACAGCAGTGCCTGCGAAGATTAAATAAAAATGTTAGTCTCTGACTTGAGTGTATCTTAGCACACGTGCGAAGAGTCACGCTGTAATATACACGCACGCATCACACCTGGGAACTGAACTGTGTGTGGCGTTTACCATTGACCCGAACCTCTACCTACTGAAAATTTTTATGGTTCTCTAATCCGGTGGGTACAAGCATGACCACAGTTGCATAATTATTACCGTCGCCAAGCCCACGTAAAACGCTCGCAGGTCGAGATTCCTGTGCAATATCTCAGAGTGACAAAGCCTTGACAGACACCACGACACATTTTTTCGTCATCATCACCATCAGCACCCTGACTACGTTCACTGCAGGATAAAGGCCTCTTCCATGTTCCGCCAGTCAACTCAATTCTGTGCTTGCTGCTGCCACTTTATACCCATAAGCTGCCTAATCTCACCTGTCCACCGAACTCTCTGTCTCCCTCTAACCCAGCTTGCCTTCCCTGGAAATACAGTCAGTTATTCTGAATTACCAGTGGTTGTCTTGCCGACGCGCTACGTGCGCAGCCCATGTCCTATAATTTTTTTTATTTCAACTATGATATCCCTAATCCCGTTTTTTTCCCTGATCCACTCTGCTCTCTTCTTGTCCCTTAAGACATTTTTCGATATGCAGACATTGCTCACTCTAAAAGCGCCTAGGAATGATATTGTGATAGCAGCACCGTTTAGTTTATAAATCATGTCAGCGCGAAGGGACGAAAACAAAAATGATGGGAAAGAGGCGGGATGGTTAGGGGGGGGGGGCTTTGCGAAAAATTGCGGAGGGTGTAAATCCCCCCCTCCTGGCTACGCCACTGTAAGCTACTGCTTCCAGAAAGGGCCTGTCTCCTACGATGTGTTCGGACTGTTTGGTTAGAAACCTTCACAAAACCATGCAAAGCGCGTGTACCTCATTGTCTGCAAGGAGGCTGGAAGACAGACGAGAGTGCTGTGCGAGTTGTTCCGTGTTGCCTACCTCAATGGGGAAGAGGGGGTGGTTTGGTTAAAATTTTGCAATCTTGGCGCAACAGGCAACGTCGGTCACTGTGTTCCTTTCGTGCAACACATTGGCGTATTTGCTGAGAAGAGGCAACAAGTTGAAAACGACACCGTAACAATCGGAGTAGTAGCTGTTCCCCATAGCTACCAGCGTGTTGAAGATGCGACCGAACGTATTTCACTGAATCAAACGTTCCTGTGCATGAAACTGCTGGCTACTGACAAAACAGTTCCCAACAAGACTGACAAAGAGCAGCCAGAACGTTGCCTACTGGAGAGAGTCGTCAGAATATGTGAAGGCTACCTTAAGGATGCCTGCTCAAAGACCTAAGGTTCCCAGATTCAGAGTAGTAGAGTTTTTTTGAGAAAACAGCTTGTGCCTGCTTCTAGCTGACACGCCTTCCTTTCGTCAGGCTGTTTAAAAAAGCAGCTGCAGCTTTATCTAAGAACTTTGTTCCGGTGAAAACTGGCTTAGCTAAAACAAAAGCTGCGAATGGGGAAATGTACAACCAGCCTTAGCTGAGGAGACTAGCAATGGATATCTCCGCATATACAGGCAAATGTTTGTCAATATTCTCACTGTGAAGACCCACAAAGATGGGATATCCTTTAGATCTATCGTCAGCAAAAAAAAATCTTCGTAATTGTAGCTTAGCTGGTACCTTCAGAAGTGTTTGTGTATCTCGCCTATTGAGGATTTTTTTGCCAGAAAAACATCGTTCTAAGTGAATGAATTCGTACGGAACAATGCTTAGGAGGGTGTTTCGTGTTTATTGATTCTGAAGACCTGTTTTATTCCATCCCACATTAGACAACTTTCGTTGCCATAGGAGAGTGCGTCAGAAAACTATCGGGAAGTACTCTTTCAGAACAAAGCAGGCATTAGTGTCGAATATTCTTTTGTCTCCCTTGAGATTCCAATTAGATGCTACAGTTGTTTCCTTTGATGGCAGAAACGTGGCGTCTGCATTGGTTCTCGTGTGGCCCCAATACCAGCAATATTTTTCTGTCGGCTGCAGAAAGACGTCAGACGCTGCCCAGACGGCGCTGCAAGAAACGCCGCCACCAGCGTCCCTATCGCCGCGCTGGCCATAATTGCACTGGTATCGCAGATAGCCGTCCGCAAGCGAACGTAGGGTCTCCTCTTGCCTTGGAGTTAAGGCGCAGTTGTCTGACAATTGAAGACCTGGCAACCATTTAACGTTAATCTGACATGGCTTCAGAAAAGTATGAAGCTCATAAAAGCAAACTGCGGTTACAACGCCAAAGATGCTTCAGTTTATTTCGGCGCGCTGCCACTTGAAGTTTATGCGTAAGCAAGCGTAGCATGACGTCGAGTTTGAAGCAAGCACTCCAACGTGCGTTCTATAATGCCTAAATGCGTTCAATTTGGACGTTCACGTGATGTCAAAGCGTTGTTTTACATACGCGAACAGCGTATCTTACTATCAGCAAACTCGTTTTATCCAATGGCCCTGGCAATTTCCGCCTTTGCAGTTGCATCCTACATCTATATCTGGCTTATTGTGCATTGAACTGTTCTATTACGCATCCTAGAAAAATGTGTTAACGGTTGTCTTCCGTTTATGCTGCAACTGGGGATACATGCGTGTGCACTTTCTCGATGTATAACGAAAAACAAAACCGAGGCTTCCGAGTTGGATTCGGCAACCGCGGAGACCAACGGCAACAAAAACCTTACTGTGGTCACGACCAACATTTCGCGATTTACCTGTATGATGTACATGTTAGCATTTGTTAGATAAATCCAGTTTAGTGCATTCAAAGCCTGCGTGCGCAATCTGTGTGGTGGAAACCACTTCAGATAATTGGTGGTCACGGCTTGTGCGATGTTTATTGCCCGTGTCATGAGTCCGCATTTAACACAACGTGCACCGTGGTCAGAAGCTTTGTTGAGCTTCATGATCAAAGTTAGCACGGTTCTCCATCAGGGCTTCTAAAACGAAAAGAAAGAAACAGAACACCTCCATTATTCCACTTTTCTATGCGCCTAGTGATATACAACGCGAGTAATCGACTTGCCTGGCAGGTTCGGAACAGCATGTATCACGCTATCTCCGTTCTGCTTCGTGACTGCGGCGGAAATTTGTAAAACTGAAGTCCTTTACGTCCGTGGCAATGCACAACGCAGCAGTAGCGTTACCTGGTGTCTTTTTTTGTTAAGCGTCGAGCTGTTGCGTCTGCTCTGGTTTTTGCCGTCTTGTGGATGAATCATACCCGATCGAGATTGTACAGAGGCGATCATGCATGAATTGCACGCCCCCTCCCCGCCACTCAGCTTCCGTGAGCTGTGGAAAGTCGTATATTGGACAAACGAGCGTCAACGTGCTTCGGACGTTACGAGTGGATATCGGAGTCGTATACCGGCCGTGACGAGCGTCAAAAGTGGGCCAACGACTGGGCGCGTGAATATGAAATGTCGCTCACAAATGATCCGCGCGCCCATCTTCCTGAGCACTGTGCGGAGCGCAGATGTGTGCCTCTGTTCTCTGAAGTGAAGGTACTTGGCCACAGTGCAGACAACACGGCATGCGAGCTTCTGAAGCTTTTTTACATAAAAACAAAAGGCACAGATTGTGTTAGCCAAACGTCGATATCTTTGTGGGTGAGTGAGTTTCAGTTGATCTTGCGCAATTTGAGATGGGTCTTTTTTGTACAGGCAAGTTGAGATAGGCCTTTTTTGCTTCCTTATTTTAGTTTTTCTAAATTTTTTCTAGCAGTATTTGTTCCCAAGCGCACCTTTGTTCCATCAACTTTTATATACCCATGTGTTTTTTTAATGAAACCAGTTGGATGTGAGGGCTCCTACAGTCATCCTCGCTTCTTTTGCCTTGTTCATTTGCGCCCAAACTTTCTCGGAAAAACGCATGTAACATAAGAGAATGGTAGCCCTTGTGCTGTAAGAATATAACACCCTTATTTACAGCTTGATCATTTTGCAGTTATTTTTTCTGCAAGAAGGTAACATTAAGCAACTAACGACTTAAACGTCACGACAAATCACTTACTTTTTCTTGCACTATGAACGATCCAGACCTGAGCGGTTGCGATCTCTAACTGTCACCGCTAAATTTAGGAATCCCGCGAAATTAGTTCCTGTTTAGCAATATTTTACTTCCTTAGCGAGCATAGCATGATCCATCATGTCACTCCAGCTCCGTACAGTGATCTGGAAATTTTCTCTATTGCACTTTCAAAATAAGCATGTACACGTTCTCTTTAAAATCTACTACGCTATGTAGCGCTTCGGTTGAAGCACAGTGTGCTGCTCACTGAACGCGTTGCAGTTACGTCGATGTGCCGTACGTTTCATTGTACCTTGGAACACTTTTTGCACTTGAAATATGGTAACTTCCGGGCTACAGATACTATACTTGCTTCGTAAAAGAAAGATATAAGTAAAAACCAAGAGTATAATAAAGCACGCACCTCAAATCAGATTTTTGGCATCAGTGTTTTTGGTACTTGAAGGGACCGCTTCTGCCAAATATTTCTTCAAAGCCTATCCGCCCCCTCCTCCCTATCATTACCAGCAGCTACACAGCCAACAGTTTTGGCTGCTGACTGAAGAATGGCCTCTTCCAGCAATCCAAAGTGTGTATTCTAGACAAAGCCGATCTCATGTTTTGTTTGCGACTTTGCTGTTATCAGAGAACATAATTTAAAGTTTGGTATTTAATTCCCTGCAGACGGCTTTTTTCAGCGCGACAGTTAGAGGTAAAAGGATCTTTAAAAAGAGATGAATGACACACTGCATAGGGTGAACGCTCTCTTTCCCCCCACTGTGTTCATTCGATATCTGAAACATTCCTTTACTTCCACTGCACCCGCCACAGTGGTCTGGTGACTAAGGCACTCGGCTGCTAACCCGCAGTTCAAGGGATGGAATCGTGGCCGCACCAGCCACAATCGCAATGGATTCGCAAATAAGCTTGAGTCCCGTGTGCCTAGATTTAGGTCCACGTTAGAGAACCCCAGGCGGTAAAAGTTTACGCAGCCCTTCATTGCGGTGTTTCTTATAATGTAGTTCTGGGACGCTTAACCCGGACCTTTATTATTTACTTCCTTTGTAGTGCTAAGAAATGACGTATGATTTTGCACCAACTCACCTACATTCGCAAGTTTTGTCGAATGTTTCGAAACGAGGTTTTTCTGGCACATATATACTTGCACACAAGAAGTCAGTCAACTTAAGAAGTTAGTCTATTTTTCTCCCGTCAGTTAAGAAACACTTCTCGCAAATCTTTTGCTCAGCGCAGAAACGTTGAACGATGCTGATCTCATGCAGAGCGTGAAGAAAGACAGCCCGGCTGACCGGTCTCAGGTGCTGCCACTGGACGTCGTGCTAGGCGTGAACGGGACGCCTGTAGAAGACTTGTCGCAGGCTCGCAAGGCTCTGGCCACGTGTAGCGACCAGCTCGTCCTGACGGTGATGTCGTGCAGCACGTACCGCGTGCTTACCTCGCGCAGAGACATGATGAGTCTGATACGCGGATTAAGCAAGGACAACGCGGTGCTCAAGAGCGCACCCTTCTCTTGCATCACGGGAATGCCGTACGGCTTGGGCGTCATCGACATAAGCGTGTGGGACGACAAGGCAAAGCGCTTCACTACAGTGTTTGCTCTCACAGTGCGTATGCAAAAAAAACTGATGCAATATAAACACCGTTGCAGTCATTCGAGCTTATTGCGGGTGACGCAGATTATCATAGCGTAGTGCAGTTGTTCTATGCGCTGTCGCTGAAAAAATACACAGCATCCTGCATTTACAGCTGTATAACGCGTGCATTGATCACAGTCTTTGTGGGCAGCCTGAGATGGTGGTAAAGTGTGAGATAGGCAGTGACACGTGAGCGCACACGGTGAAATTCATTGTGACAATAAGGATTTTCTAAGCAAATTCTATGAGAATAATATTACGAATACTTTTTATCATGTACATGACGAAAATGCATTCCGAAAGTGCAGTCCTGTACATTATGGGTCACGCCCTATTGTAAGAAAATCTGGAATATTTTTACCCCCTCGCGCTCCTTTCATGCACCTCGCTCTAAGTACACTCATGTTCTTGAATTCCACCCACACATGAATTTGGCCACCATATACAGAAGCCCCACCGCGGTGGTCTAGTGGCAAAGGTACTCGGCTGCTGACCCGCAGGGCGCGGGTTCGGATCCCAGCTGCGGTGGCTGCATTTCCGATGGAAGCGGAAATGTTGTAGGCCCGTGTGCTCAGATTTGGGTGCACGTTAAAGAACCCCAGGTGGTCTAAATTTCCGGAGCCCTCCACTACGGCGTCTCTCATAATCATATAGTTGTTTTGGGACGTTAAACCCCACATATCAATCAATCAATCAACCGTAAACAGAAATAGTAGCCTTGATTCTACTGAAAAAAAAAACACTCCTTGTTTTTGTTGACTGCGTAAACCACATACAGACAACCACGGCGGAAAATAACTGTTCTCGGTATGTTAACATGATGGCGCCGAAGAGCTCATTTTGCAAAACTTCCGTCGTCGTTGTCGGCGACTTTGTTGTGGGCGAAAAGTACTCATTTCGCCCGTGACCAAAAAGCTGAGAATGATGCAAATAAAATAAATAATAAAAATTTCCTCGTCCAAGAGGGAATCGAGCCCTGGCCGTTCGCTTGGCAAGCACGTGTTTTACTACACAGCCATCCGTTAGCTTGCTAATAGAGTGAAAATTGCTTCCTCCACTTGAAATCGCAGTGGAAATAATTCAAGCTTTACAAACACACGCATCCTGTATACAGGCTTCAAATTCCGAAAAGTCACAGCTTTACCGCAAAGGCGATGCAATGAACCTCATAGTGACAAATTGGAAGGTCACGCAAAGAATCGCAAGCAGATCGAAACAGGCCCCGCGTTTCTCACGCACAAATGACGCACGAAACATACTCACAGGTACAGAAGAACGCGAATAAGCATCTCCATTGTTACTTCGCTGTGTCTGAAAAGCACGCCTTTTTCGCAAATAGAGGTTGTGCAACGATTGCAGTGATCTTTGTGCGCGCCATAACTACAACAGAATTGTTCCAGTGCAAGCCCAGCGCCAGCCAATACGTATGATCCTCCTCACCGGGTGATGGGCGCGCGAGAGATCGTCCACTCCGCTTCTCTCCCTGAGCGAAAGTGCATGTAAAAGATCAGAGCCGCCACGCGCTCATTGTGCCACTTCGCTGATAATGCTTAAAACACAATTGTTTTCTTCCCCCTGATATGGTCGCCAGCAGTGGCAATTGGTAGATATAAATGGCTTGCCGTTTTAACATTGAAGACAGGTCTCTCGGTGGTTCAGTGGTTAACGCCTCGCATTACGACGCGGAAGTACCACGTTCGCTTCCTGCGCGCTGGTTTTTTTTTTCTAGATTTTAAAGACGATAGTCTTTCTTGGGACCTTCGACGGAAAACTTTTGGTCTGGTTCACCATCCACCAAGCCTATGGTTCACCAACCACCAAGCCGACATCCCCACCTGGTCAGTTTTCAAAGAGGCCGTCACCTCGTTTTTCGGTCGTCCAGCCATGCGTAAGCTTCGTGCTGAACTGGGCCTGCGGGGACGATTTCAGCGAAATGGTGAGAGCTTCACGAGCTACCATGTGGATGTGATCAGCCTCTGTAGGCTAGTTGATGCGAGGATGACGGAGGCTGACAGAATAAAGAATATATTGAAAGGCATTGATGACGACGCTTTTCATATGCTTGTGGCCAAAGACCCACAGACCGTCACGGCCGTGATTCAGCAATGTCAGAGTTTCAATGAGCTGCGCAAGCAACGAATTTCTACACGTTGCGCTAATACGCAAACAGCTGATATTTCGGCTTTGGAGTTCAAAAGCAGTGGCCCAGACTACAGCGTGTTAATGCCTCAAATTCAACAGTACATCCGGGAGGAAGTTGCTCTACAGCTCTCTCTTGTCGCCACCTTCAACGAGACCCCTAAAACACTGGACCACTCACTTCGCCGTGCTATTCAGACGCAAGTTGCCGAAGCTCTCCCTTTTCCCGCGTCCCCAATATCAGTGGCTGCACCAGCTGACTTATGCAGAAGCCGTCCGCCGACCTCCTGCCCAACCACCGCTCCCTTCATACAGTCCAGCCACCAAATACTACAGGTCACCAGTTTCGGTTTATTCGGTAAATCGGCCCTTTCCACCACCTCGAGCACCTGTAAACTCTTGGCGTACTCCGGATAACCGGCTCGTCTGCTACAACTGTGCTATTGCAGGACATGTCGCGCGCTACTGTCGTCGCTGTGGATTCTATTGTAATGATGTTCAGCATTCCGGCAACATGCCTCGGCAATCAGAATTGCATGTGACACCTGATTCACATGACCCCCGCTGACGTCGACCAGACTTCAGCCGACGTCGATCTCATTCACCTCGTCTTCGGTCTTCTTCCCCCATGCTTCGCCGTTCCAACCACGCCCAGGAGGAAGACTAACAGTCGCAGTTCCTGAGGCAAGAGCTGCGCCACCGACGAAATTTCCAAGGCCTCATCTTTCGCCCCCTAACGAAATTGCCGTGTTTGCGGGCGGATGTTGCGAAGCGCGCCTCCGACGACGTTACGAAGGGCTCTACGAATCTCACCGCTGCAACCACTGTTGCGAAAGACGGCGACGCCAACACGGTCCCGAAGGCACCACTGCTTCGAACTCCGCCGGGAAGGTCACCAGCCATTTGGTAGCGTAGGTTTTTCAGCTCGCGACTACTTCAGCGCAGAGCTGATAGACGAGCGGACGAGACCACGGTGAGGTAAACAAGGTTTATGTACAGCTTATATACAGAGGCGCTACAAATTCGGCACTGGGGCCGACAGCTTAGAGACCCGAAGAGCCGAGCTCTCCTCTCTAACACATAGGTCTGCTTTCAAATGGGTCTGCTCGCGACGCGCCGCAGGGCTTCTTATATATGCACTGGGTCCAACCCAAATGTCCAACCAGAAGCGCCGCTGGTCATGAGGTTAGAATCCTCCGATGGGGTACGCCACTGTGCCGCGCCATTCTTTCTCATCGAATCTGGAGAGGCTACGCTGCAGGTGGCTGCACCCAAGGACGAGTGACGTCCCCAGGCATTGCGTCAGACCCGCCAGACAGGAAAACGCCGGTTGCTTGCTCGACGGGCTCGCTTGCTGAGGTGACTCACTGCACGTGCGCGCCAAAAAGGCGCCGTCGGCGTGATGACACTGTTGAGTTGTTGATCGCGTCAGGCATTCTCGCGTGCTGGCCTTAACACAGATTTCCTTTTTCTGCGGCATGGACGTTCGCTGCGGACTCGCTGGCATCACAACGGTTTCGCCACAACTGCTCTTGTCGACACAGGTGCCGCTATTTGTATTATCAGTGAAGTGTTATGCCGCAAACTGAACAAAGTGACGACTCCGCTGGTTGAAATTTCTTTACGCACAGCTAGTTCGCAACACGTCCAACCTTCTGCCACATGCACTGCTCGTGTTTTGATTCAAGGAGTGCTTTACATCGTTGAATTTGTCGTCCTTCCGCATGCGTCTCATGAAATCATCCTGGGATGGAACTTTCTTTCCGCTAATTATGCGGTTGTCGACTGCGCTCGTGCTCAACTCGTTTTGTTTCCATTCCTGCACGACATTCATAGATCTCCCTCGCTCACCCAAAATGTGATCGTCGCCGCTGACGTCGTCCTTTCTGCTTTTTCGGTCGCCACGGTATCTCTTTTGTGCAACTCCGTTTCCGATTCGACTGCCCTCTTTATGCCGTCACAAGAATGCACTCGCCGCCGGAACCTTGTCGTCCCGTTTGCCGTCATAACACTTTCCGATGGCTCCAGTGCCGTGTATGTGTGCAATCCGTTCTTTTGTACCGCTACCTTATTGCATGGCGAATGTATTGGGAGTCTTGACACTTATGATGACATCTTTCCTTTCGATGCCCATTCTGATACGACACCGATGTCCGTGGATGCTGTCACAGCTGCCACCGCGCCCTCACTACCTGACGAAGACGTTCTGTTGCGCAGCGTAGACACCGGCCTTACGCAAGACCAGCGCAATCAGCTCATTCAAGTACTTGACCGTTTCCGCGCCTCCTTCGACCTCGGACAACCTTCCTTGGGACGCACGTCAGTTGTCACTCACCATATCGACACCGGTCATCATACTTCACTTCGTCAGCGCCCCTACCGCGTCTCGCAGGCTGAGCGTGACGTCATCACTCAACGCGTCGACGAGATGCTGCAACGTGGTGTTATTAAGCACTCACACAGTCTTTGGGCTTCGCCAGTGGTCCTCGTGCGAAAAAAGAATGGCTCCTTCAGGTTTTGCGTGGATTATCGTCGACTAAACAACATCACACGCAAAGATGTTTATTCCCTGCCACGAAATGATGACGCCTTGGATTGCCTTCAAGGTGCGGAGTTTTTCTCTTCACTGGATCTGCGCTCTGGATATTGTCAAGTGCCAATGGCTGAACCAGACCGTCTAAAACGGCGTTTGTGACCCCAGACGGCATATAAGAATTTAATGTAATGCCCTTCAGTCTTTGCAATGCACCTGCGACTTTTAAAAGAATGATGGACAGTGTCCTCAGGGGACTTAAATGGCGCATCTGTCTTTGCTATTTAGACGACATAGT